CCCACATGTATCTTCAAAGTGAAAACACACCGCTCTCTCGCTTCTCCTCCATCAAACTGCAAGCGAATTTAACCCAACGCTCTCGCCCCGCAGCTTCCTTCCTCAACAACCACTAAAACCTCTACCTCTTCCAGTCATAATTCCATCCGTCCTTACTAGGCCCCTCCGTCTGCATCCTACCATACTCAATCGGTATCTGGTCCGTGAAGACGCCTCTTTTATTCATTGAAATGCGGAACAACTTGCCACCATCCCCTGCTCCCGTTCGTAGCTCCTCGCACGCATCCCGCATGCTGTTCCACTGGCGTTCGAGCTCGAGCTGGCGTGCCTCACGCTTCTTGGCGCAGTAGAGTTGCCAGGCACGGTGGATGGTCCAATGGCGCAGGTAGCGGTTGCGGGAAAAACGGAGGGGCCGTGGTGTTAAGGGGTGATAAAGGAAGTAGCGGATGAGTGCTGGAGTGGGCAGACACATTAGTATTCTAGTTGCGAGGGTTTGAAGGTCAAGTCCGGATACAGAGACGGAAGAAGAAAGGGAAGCTCTGGGAAAGTGAACAGAGAAAGGAGAGGAAAACCAATTGCCAAATGTGCCTTCACCCCAGCCCCAAATACAAGGCCAACTTCAACAACTGGCGTTTTATTTTCTTTCCACTGCATCTTGTATTTTGGGCGCCGGGGGTAAAGGTATATATATAGGTGGCAGTTGGCCCTCTATCATCCGTAACCCGTTCAACCCTTCTAGCCTAGTAGAATATAGGACTAGATATGTATATAATCTAAATCTACTTACTAACGCGCTTATCAATCACTTTCTTCCCTTTCCGCGCAGATAGCACAGGGCCGGCGGAAAATGGTCGCGAAAACACTGAAGTCCGCAGCTCACCGCACAACCTGCTCGATAGCGGTGCTTGCAAGAATGATGAGGAGCTCAATGGGGAGGAAGCAAAGGATGCTGATGAACGGGCAATTGGGATCTTGAAGACGCTCGCGAGTGACGCCAGGACGGGAGATAGTTGTTGTCTCATTGTGGTTCGGATATGGTGGATTCGAATAGGTATTTATTGCGGTTCGGTCTGTGGAGGCGGAGCCAGGATTTTTTTTCGGCGGGCTTTGTTCAGGTAATTTGATCCTTTCTGGAAGAAAAACCAGCAGAATAAATAGCTTTGTCCAGGGCAGACCCGCTTCCGCGCTTATCTTCGTTGAATTTGTACAACGCGGAGGAACACTGCGTGGTGGATATTGTAATAGCATCCATCAACTTACATGGAGGTGAGGCTCAATGAAATTTGGGATGTTGCTGGGCGGCGGGAAGGATGGCGGATGCTGGTTGGGCGGATTAGCCGCTAGACGCCGCACTCAATCTAGAATACTGTACGACCACCTTCCAAGGTTCATATGAACGGAGTGGAAACCGATAGAATTTTGGACGCTTTTTTTGTATTCATATAATCTAGATGCAATAGAGAGATATCGTAGTGACCTAATTATACACAACAAAGGAAAAACTTCAAAATGGATACAATCTACTCGTACTCTGCCAATTGGACATTATCGCAAAAGCCATTCATGTCTTGAATGTTGAGGCAAAATCATCATCCCACGCCTGCCAATAAGAAAATAAGTAACTCGCCTACCAAACATGCCATGGCCATGTCCCACAATGTATCGTGACGGTCAGCGGTTTGGTTCAGGATTAAAAAGAAATAAATAAAGAATAGACCGGAAAATAGCATCCTCACTCTGAGGAACGTGATGAGGGCTGAAGAAACAGATTTTCGCCTCTGATTTAAGATAGGTAGGTAGGCGCGTATGTATCTGTATCAAATTTCGCATGGTAGTTATTGATGCGTAATTATTAGGATCATTATTTCGACTCTCCCCGCCCCACAGCCTGCTTCTTCGTCCGATCATAATTGAGCACCTTTCTTTTCCGGTGTGCGTTTGCCAACTTCCATCGACAATATAATACCAGCGCATCTTTCAAAAGTACAAAGAGGCAGCCTCCTACAACACTCCGTCCCCATCTACTTTGCAGCAAGCCATATCTGCTCGCCTCCAGTATAGGCGAAGAAGACGTTGCCACTGATGGGACTGTCGTCCAGGCTTTCGGCAATGCCATCTTCAGCACGCCACCCATCGACGCTGAGATGACCGGGAATAGCAGTGCACCCAGAACCGTGTCTGCAATGTTGCTCGTATCATGAATTATTGCCTCTTGTCGCCGGCCAAGTATCTGGTTGCCTTGCTCAGCGCCTCCTGCTTCTTGGTTTTGGGCAGCTGCACCGTCATCAGGAAGGTCCTCGCCGCCTGCTCCCGCTACCACGGGCATATTGTCAATGTCATCATTTCCTCCACCCCCAAGTCCGACTTGTAGCTCTAAATCAATCTCCATGAGGATATCGCCATTCCCTCCGACCGCTGCGCCGCCACGGTCACCATCCTGCTGTCCGTCAGCACCAGCTTCTCCCGAGCGCGGCTGTACCTCTGCAATCCACTTCTTCTCCAGTTTCCCAAAAACCTTCTCGTAAATCATACTATAAAAGCTCTTCACATATGGCAGTGCTGCAAACGTCATCGCAGCGCTGGGCGGCCAAAAATCCATCTCCAGCTCCTGGCTGCCAGGCTGGTGCGTGGCAAAAAAGAGAACGGGTATAGCAGGTAGCAGACCCTCCGCATACTTCGTTCTCGAAAGTATAAGCACGACGGGTATGAGGGGTAATCCAATATTCAACCGCGGATTCCACGTCGATTCGTTCCGGCTCTGGAAAATCCGCTTCGCATCGTCCGAGCCAAAAGTTAGGTATACAGAGTACACCCCATGCGCACAGCAGCCTGCCCACAGAGTTCCAGCCAGCGTACAGATCATGCCTGGTAACACAAGTCGGCCCGCCAGCCGCTCAACAGCCCGCACCAGGTCGACGACAAGGCTTCGCGGACGCGAGATGACGATTTCGGACTTGCATTGGGGACAGAGCATTTTGGCGGGATGTCTGTTTCGTTTTCGAGAGTTTGGGTTCTCGAGGTCGGCGAGCCAGTCAAGGAGACAGGCTTCGTGGGCTGTCAGGGCGCAGGGACATGGTGATCGCCACTCTGTGTTCAATGGGGTATCTTCGGTTTCATCGGTGTAGCAGATCCAGCACTTGCGCGGCTCGGAGATTACGGTGGGGGCTTCAATAGTGGCGCTTTGTTGTATTCCGTCTGGTGAGGAGTTATCCATGATGGAAGGCTCTTGGTTTTGTTGACCTGGCTGTTCTTGTTGCGGTGATGCATTCGATAGCTGTTGCACGGGCTCTATATCTCCGACCCCCGAAGCCTTCGAGACGTTAGGAAAAACGTCTAGGCGTTCGACAGAAGCGCTTGTATGGAGGGAGGAATCCGTCTCGGATTGAGGAGGTTCTCTGCTGCTAGCTGATGAAGCGCTGTCAGATATCTGATGGGACGCAGAAGGGAGCTGCCTTCCCGCAGGAGATTGTGGGGGCAATGATGCCATCGTATGTGTTATTGCGGCTTTTGCGGCTGTGTTCAAGTTCGCAGCGCATAGAACGTCTTCATTTCATTTAGGCGATTAGAGAACATGATTGAAGCTTGCCAGCTTGGCCACTCAAACAAATGGACGTCAGAGGCGAAAATATGTCACGTGACTAGGAATTGTATCCATTAATTTACCTCGGTCTCTTTTTAGAACAGCGGAGGGGTTCTCACACAAATGATTGAAAAAAAAAAAAAAATAAATAAAACAAAAAAAAGAAACAGGAAATTTGGAAATATAAATATAGAATATTTTAATGGAATAGCATGTGCTGCATGCCATCAAATTGGGTGCTCGTGGTTAATCTCATTTGCCGAAATTCGCTGTGAAAAAATCAGCTTGGAAAAAAAAAGTACCTATATACAACTCGCCAAAAGGAACAGATACCGGCTGCTCAATGGATCAATATGTCGTCGTCTCGTAATGTCCTTGTCCGGGAAACAT